TAGCCATACCAGGAGGGGGAGGGGAAGGTGGGGGGAGAAAGGGAGAGCTGATCATAATGATTGACATATAACCCCCTCCCAGGGGGACCAGCAACAAAAAAGTGGGTGAAGGGTTACAGTGGTTGGTGTAAGACATGAAAAAAAAAATTATAAATTATCACGGGTTCATGAGGGAGGGAGGATGGGGGAGAGGGAAAAAACTGATATCAAGGGCTCAAGTAGAAAGAAAATGTTTTGAAAATGATGGCAACATATGTACAAATGTGCTTGACATAATGGATAGATGTATGGATTGTGATAAGAGCTATAAGAGCCCCAATAAAATGATTTTTTTAATAGTGTACTTTTATATTTGTACACATTTAATTACAATTAAGATACCAAGATAGGAAAAAACAAAAGCCAGTTCAGAAGTAGAGTGGAGAGTAAGAACTAGTAAAACAATCCGAGGAAACTTCACCGCGGTGTTCAGATAGGTGCTAGGTGGTATTAGAGCAGCGGGCAGTGTGACCGCAGCAGGTGGTCTAGGGAGCACAGAGGTAGCTGTTTAGGGTTAGCACAAAGGAAGTCCTCTTGAGTCATCCACAGGTTAGTAAGGACAGCACATTAGTATCAAGTCATTTCATTCATATATTCTGTATTTGGCCTACTTTTCTGCTTACAGCTTTTTGGTTTCACTATGAATAGTTGCTATCAGGAATAGGTGTGCACCAATTACATTATTCTGTTAGGTGTTTGTTCTTTCCATAGATTCTGTTGCCCTTTTATAATATCTTTGAACAAAAACAAAACCAAAAAAAAAATGTTACAGCCTCACAGTGCTTTCTTCTTCAGCTGTCTGTGAAGAGGCCTGGTTTTGTTTGTTTGGTTTTTTTTTTCATTTCCAAGCCATTTCTAACACTTTTTTTAAAGATGTAAAATCGTTTTTTTTTAATTTAGTTTTAGAGACAAATAATATAATGGTTTTAGTCTACATACCAGTATAATACTTTGACCTAACAAGTCAATTTTCTGACCCTCCCACCAAGATGACTAAAATGGTTTGATAAAATTGACTACAGTGTTCATGGCGGTTGAAATTTGCTGTAAATCTTTCTAAGTGCCTTTTCTTATTTTCTGTACACTTTTCCCAATGGGTATCTGAACCATACTTTGGATAGCACTTTCTTTAATACTGCATGTGCAGGGAAAGTTGCACTGTTTACAGAATGCTTTTCTTAACCAGGTATGCATCTTCTATTGACGATATTTTGGAAGATGAAGAACATTATGCAGATCAGTTAAAAGAGTATCTTTTTTATGCGGAAGCACTGCGGTAAGTATGATCCAAGTTCCCAATCCAGCTCTGAGGCTGCTCGCCACGCTCAGGCTTCTGGGAAATGCCTTTTCCTTTGGATGGAGCCCCTCCTCGGAGAGGTGGTGAAGGGCTCTCACTGTATTGCTCTGTTGAGCTGCAGTGTGTTAGGCAGGCGTGGGAATGTACACTGAGTGCTGCCCTTGGAGAGGTTCCATTGAGAGACTTGCCCCTCTCAGCCATCAGGTCTGTGTCTGCTTTTCCTCCCTCCACGTGTCAGTGTGAAGCCTGGAAGCAGATACAGTCAGTGTGCACAGTCCGCTGTCGCGAGGCTCTAGGTTTCCGTTCTGTTCTGCAATTGCTTTAGACATCTTCCCTTCTCGGTAAGATTGTAAAGTCATATTCAATGTCAGGGACTTTGCCTTCCATTTTCTGCCTATCTCCTACAGAGCCCAACATAATTCTGTCTGATGAAGAAAAAGTTAGTACATTTTTTTTCTGCCTAAAATTTTACAAATGGACCGTTTTCTTGGAATATATGGCTTCTGAAGGGTCCTACCTATTCTTAGGCAGTGTTCCTGTCCCTTTGGACAGTGCTGTAAGGATTCTGTTAGGAACCAGAAGTATGCCTTGAGCTTCTCAGCAGCTGAGGTGAGATGTCTGTCCACATTGCCGGCCTTTCTCCCCCAGCGCTCTGAGCAGCAAGAAGCTTTGCCAAGGTATTTCCAAAGTCGCCAAGCAAATGAGAGTTGCTATTCACTGTGGAATTTGTGCAGCTCTTGAACAACACTTTAGAAGTGTTGTGTGTTGGTAATGGTGTATAATTAAGTGAGACTCGGGGTGTATGGACATGTGTCTATGGACATGCCTAAAATCTGGAAGGATACACCATCTATAACAAAGATTATGTTTAGAGAGTGGGATTAGGAGAGCAAGCACACTCTTTGAAGTGTGTGTGTGTGTGTGTGTTTATTCCTGAATGAGGATATTTTTCACCGTGAGCATCAATGACATAATAAAAATGAATAGACATTTCCAAGTAAAGGAAAGGACTTTGAGACCCCAGTCCTTCAACAGATACCTAGCTCTGAGATTATAGCATTAGTTCCTGTGAGATATATTTATTTTACATATGTGATAATGTCATATATATTTAATTTTGCAGATATCTAGAAAACAGCATTTTTATTTAAAGTGGAAAGTGGATGTTCTCCTCTCCCCCTTTAAAGTATGTCTTTAAAGAGAAGCTAGCTCCTTAAATGACAGTGCATCTTCCCCCCCAGGGCTGTGTGCAGGAAGCATGAACTCATGCAGTACGATTTGGAGATGGCTGCTCAGGACTTGGCTTCCAAGAAGCAGCAATGTGAGGAGCTGGCTACTGGGGTAAGTGGTTTTCCATCTGGCCCCCCAGGTCTCTGGTATTATTACAGCAACCTTTCATGGGGAATGAGATGCTGCTGGATTGCCCGCAGCTTTTAAAAGGAAAGGATTTGTGAGTGGGTTGTGACCTTGGCACCACAACTGTAGACAACCCAGCCAAACCTCGGGTTACACCGTGGATTCCCGGGGACTCTTGGCCCGCTCGTGTTACGGACATTTATTTACCCTCCTTTTGAAATCATTGAACCTCCCTCCACTCTCAAACTGTGCTTCATCACAGTCCCCGCACCTGCTACCTGTGCAGCTTTTCAGTCGTTGAAAAGGCATCCAGACTTTCCTGCACTAAAGTAAGGCTAACTGAGGACCCGATGCTCCTGCTCCGACTCACAGACACATTCTCACAGACACACTGAGGAGCTGGCTCCCTCGTCCGTAAGCTGGGAACAGCCCATAGGAGCAGCGCTTCTCAACCATCCTCATGCCGCGACCCTGTCATACAGTTCCTCAGGTTGTGGTGACCCACCCACCATGAAATTGTTTTCGTTGCTGCTTCATCACTGTCATTTTGCTACTGTTATGAATCAGGCAACCCCTGTGAAAGGGTCGTTCAGCCCCCAAAGGGGTCGCGACCCACAGGTGGAGAACCGCTGCTGTATTGTAAGAAATGTTGCTAGCATTGCTTGGTGTCATGAATCCCATGTGATTTCCGTCTCAGTCCAAGTTAGAAAGCATTGTTCGTGGGGATTGCAAAGATGAACCTTGTCAGGCTTAAGTGACCAGGAGTTTTAGAGGAGGCGATGATGTTTCCTTTGACAAACCTTTGCCGGCCAGACCTGTGCACCTTCCTAACAAGCTTTTTTTGTGTGCTGGCTACTGTAATGCAGATTTACAGGGAGCCCATGGGAAGAAAAGGCCACTAAATCCTACTGCGTGTGATTTAGATCTTTTCATACTCAGTCTTGTGCTGTCCACCTCTTCCTTTGGGAAAAATTCTCTGTCCCAGTGAGAGCACACCTCCCGGAAGTAAGAAAGCAGTGGCCGTGCACCATGTGTTTACCCAGCACCTTGGGATTAAAGAGTGCCTCTGGGGAGCCTCGTGGGACAACTCAGCACCATGCTCATCTAGGCATTTAAAAACTTGTGAGTGACCGTCTAGGACACCGCTGCTGATTTCTGCTTATCTGGAGTAATAGAGAAATAAGGACACCAGAGCCCCAGAGAGGAAACACCAGCTGCTCCACAGGACTGATGACCCACCCACACCCTGGTCTCTTCACATTGAGACCAAAAGAACTAGAGTGTGTCCAGCAACCACTGCCCACCTCTGTGGCCAGGGACACAATAGATGGAAGGTCCATGGATAGAATGGAAGAGAGATGTAGGATAAAATGCAAATCCCTCAAGACGTTCTTCACAGAGCCGCCGCGGTCTCCTGCTTCAACAGTGCTTGAATGGAACCCGGCGCTCGCCAGCCCCCCTCCCCCGCCAACCCGCTGTCCAGCATGCCCTCCAGCAGCACCTCTCAGCTGTACTCTCGATGCCCAGGCCTCCACCGCCACCGTGAGCGCATCTCCCTCGCAGGTGCGCCAGAACTACAACCAGGACTCTGAGGCCGCCATCAACCACCAGATCAACCTGGAGCTCTATGTCTACCTGTCCATGTCTTACTACTTTGACCGGGATGACGTGGCTCTGAAGAACTTTGCCAAATACTTTCTGCACCAGTCTCGCGAGGAGAGAGAACACGCCGAGAGACTGATGAAGTTGCAGAACCAACGAGGGGGCCGGATCTTCCTCCAGGATATCAAGAAACCAGACCGCAACGACTGGAGAGCGGGCTCAACGCCATGGAGTGTGCACTGCACCTGGAGAAGAGTGTCGAGCAGTCCCTGCTGGAGCTGCACAAACTGGCCCACGGACAAGAACGACCCCCATCTCTGTGACTTCATCGAGACACAGTACCTGGATGAGCAGGTGAAATCCATCAAAGAGCTGGGCGACTACGTCACCAACCTGCGCAAGATGGGGGCCCGGATCCCGGCCTGGCCGAGCATCTCTTCGACAAGCACACCCTGGGAGACAGTGATGGAGAGAGCTGAGCGGCAGCCTGGCCTTCCCCAAGTCACCAAGGCAGCGCATGCATGTGGGGTAGACCTGTCCCTTTTCTATAAATT